AGTCACTAGCTTATAACAGCCACTAGCACCAGGAGAATCATCACTCTTCAGATCTTAATTAAAAATAAATGGTACCTTGCCAGGCTTCCTGTCAAGGGGTCAGATTTACAATCAGTTGCCTTTCGGGGATATTGGCACTGTGCAACGCAATAATGAGAAAGCATATGACCTCTGTTTTCTTGTCTGTGAAGCATAGACCTTGAGCCTTTCACTGTTTTCTATTTCACAGAATCAAAGAATCCTAGACTGGATTTAGGATTGTGAGGAAGGAGTTTATGTTTGGAGGCATATACTTGCTAAAAAGAAGCTGAACTGCATAATTACAAAAGCCTTTGGATCAGTGAGATGCTAAATTTCCTGTTGAAACTGGAAAAAATGTTGATGTCTTTTATTCTTTTTCATGATACAATGTTTCTAGAGGCCATTATAGTGAAACAGTTGTGCTGACAAAGGCACTGCCTCAAAGACAACCCTAGAATGATACTCACTATATGCCTGGATGGGGCCTGGGACTTAAAACAGCAAGTATCTCTTCATTTAGCCTGGGAGACATCTGCTTCTTGGGAATTTCCTAATGATCAAGTCCAGGAGTTTGACTCAGTGCCCAGTAAGCATGAAGCCTGCTCTGTTAACAGGATAGGAAGGTGGAGTGGTGTGTGAAAAAGATGCTTCTGGCCTGCAGGACAAGCTGTATCGTATGCTGATACTGCATATGCCTAGGGAGCCTTGGAGTAGCAGCTCTTGCAGTGAAGCATCTGCCATCCCAGAAGGCAGAATGGACCTCTATGTGGAAAAATACAGATTATGGCCTGAACAGGAGGCCAGCCCATGAGAAAGGACTCATGTTGATACAAGCTATAATGATATTATTAAGTTTGCTAGTGTTAGTTGATAGCCTGCAATTTGGTTCAGTAACTGTCTTTGGACCAAGTTATCTGCTTAGAAGACAGAAGTAGAAGGAAGTTCTACCGAGTCTTTGTACCAAGAAAATAAGGAAAAATCTGACTCCAAGCAGAAGTAAATATGCAATATACCTCTGGTAAAACTTCTGCATATGTCACACAAGTCATATATATAAGCTGAAGATCTTACATGCAAAGTATACATGACAGGAAGAGCCCAGCCCCCATACATCAAGACCTGATAATCATCAAATCACCAAGGTAGGAAAAGACCAGTCCAACTGTCCTATCATCAGTATTTCACCACTAAACCTGTCCTCCAGTACAACATCTAAACGTTTCTTTAGCACCTCTAGGGATAGTGACTCCACCACCTTCCTGGGCAGCCTGTACCAGCACCTAACCATTCTTTCAAAGAAGTATTTCTTAACATTTCCTGAATCTCCCCTGGCACAACTTGAAGCCATAATAAAGAATGCCTGCTTTCTAACAAACTAACTTGAGTCTCAGAGAGTTTCCTGACAGACTGATTTACAGTATCATTGTTAGCTTGGAAGCACAAATACACTGGCTTTAGCTTCTGCATGTAGCTAGAAGAAACTTGTTTGTGATAAACTGCTCTGAGGCTGTGTTGTGGTTTTATTATTTGTGGTTGGCATTCCACATCATATCTTCATGTAATCCACTGGGAATTAAAGAGTTAATGCTGCAGTTCTGTGGACTATCAATAGCTCTTATATCCTGGATTCAGAAAAGAAGAATGAACTGCAGTTCCCAGAAGACTTAATTATTCGATTTCCATTCTGTTTAGAGGGGAATATAAAACTGACTGGGAGTCACAAGACAGTCTCATTTTTTGCCCACCTTTGCTTTGTATGTGCCCTGCCTGTTTCACTTACAGCATTAGAGTAAAGCCTTTGGTTTCAGACACTCACTCATTTTATTTGATTTATTAGCTTCAATTCCAATTATATTGTATTATATCTCATACCGCTATCATATTTAGTAAATCAGTTGTTTCCCTTAGATTGTTGATTTTCTCATCTAGGCCCATCTCCCTGCCTTTTTCCCGTCCCCCCTTTCCCTTTTCCTGAGGCATGGACTATGAGTCCCTTCATCTCCTGTCCTGGAATTAGGCCAAACTGGGCCAAACCATAACAAGCTGTAACTAAGTACCTTTGCTTTCTGTGAATGACCTTCCTTATCCTGATATATTATTGTCTTCTGCTGTTATATATATGGCCACAGTTCTAAGGGTATAGTGTAGACATCTTGTTGGTCAGACACCACTGGCATCTGTGGGGAGAAACCTCAGTGTGGATGTACTACTGGACAGCCAACCCCCAGTAACATGAGAACCTTTCTATTAAACTGATGAATGTTAACTTGCCTCTGCATCCTTTCTTCAGTATTGTAAACCTTATGCAGAAGTGCTGGTGCTTTTGCATTACAATTGGCATAGTCAGCAGGATCTGAGGAAAATAATGCTGTCAAGGGAACTGATCTGCTGGGTGAAATTGCAAAAATGCTGAGAGAAAGAAATCCCAAGGTGTAAGCGAAGCTCCATGTGCTGTAGAATTATAGAATCCTTAGAGTTGAAAGGGACCTACAAAGGTCATCTAGTCCAGCTCCCCTGCAATGAACATCCACAGCTAGATTAGGTTTCCCAGGGCCTTATATCCAGACTCACCTTTTGAAAGTCTCCAAGGACAGGGCGTCAACCACATCTCTGGGCACCAGTTACCTTCACTACCCTCACTGTAATAGATTTTTTTCTTGCATCTAACCTAAATCTACTCTCTTTAAGCTTGAAGCCATTTCTACTTGCTCTATCACCACAGGCTCTGTTGAAGTGTCTGCTCCTTCTCTTCTTTAGATAACTCCCCGTTAGACATTGGAAGGCTGCTATCTGGTCACCTAAGATCTTTCTCTTCTCCAGGCTGAATCATAGAATCAACGAGAAGACCTACAAGATCATCCAGTCCAACCATCCACCTATCACCAGTAGTTTTCACTAAACCGCATACAACACAGTGTCTAAAACGTCCCTTGAACACTGCCAGGGTTGGTGATTCCACCACCTCCCTGGGCAACCTACTCTAGCATTTGACCAGTCTTTCAGAAAAGTATTTCCTAAAGTCCAGTCTGAATGTCTCCTGGCACAACTTGAGGCCATTCTCTCCAGTTCTATCACCAGTTACACGAGAGAAGAGGCTGACGCCCAGCTCACTACAACCTCCTTCGGGTAGTTATAGAGAGCAATAAAGTCTCCCCTGAGCCTCCTCTTTTCCAGACTGTACAATCCCATCTCCCTCAGCCTCTCTTCATAAGACTTGTGCTCCAGACCCCTCATCAGTTTCGTTGCTCTTCTTTGAACCTGCTCCAGGGCCTCAATGTTTTTCTTGTACTGAGGGGCCCAAAACTGAACACAGTACTCATGGGCACACTCACCAGTGCTGAGTACAGAGGAATGATCACTTCCCTGCTCCTGCTCACAGCAAAATTTCTTGGCCATCTCGGCTAGCTGAGCACACAGCTGGCTCATGTTCAGCCAAGAGTCAACCAATAAGCATTCCTGGGGAACACCACTCATGAGTGGTAACCAGCTGGATTTAACTTGGTTCACCACTAAGTCTTTTCTGTGCTTTCTGTTCTGCTTGGATTTTAAATTTTGATAACTGCTGAATATCCAATCATGTTCTATTAGAGAGAAATTAATTTTGGAAGACCTCAGTTTTCTTTCTTATCAGATTCAGAAGTTGAGTTTTGAACTTCCCATTAAAATCAATTGGAACGTTCCTGAAATTCAGTAAGATTTGTATAGCAACTAGGGTGAAATAAGGGCATGTATGCAACCAGTCAGTATGGATCAGTTGATAGGCATGCACTTATCCTACCTGATTTTTTTTTTTTAATTGTGTGCTTATAACTCTATATAGACATAATTGTAAAAGTAAGGCAGAAGTGACATCCACCTCAGCTAGGCTGACACATTAAATACAACTAAATCCATATTATGCTAAGCAGACAGAGTGTTGTTCTGCACACTGAGAGCCTCTCTACTTGTTGCTAGGTACAGTCTTATCAAACAGTATTTCAGGGTACATTTGGATCTGAGAGACAGGATGTCTCAGGAGCAGAGGCAAGCAAACTATGCATTCAGAGTAGCACAGAGTCTTATGAATTTTATTTAACATACGCACACACACACAAGCATCCATTTTAGATAATCCCAGTAAGCAACAAGCAGAAACTCCCTAAGCAAGTGCACTGTAACTTATGGACCCTTGAGAGATGGCAGGCTCCTGAAAAGCAGAGAGAAGGAACATGCTGGTGGTGGATCCTATAGGTAGTGCCAGCAGGGCATCCCCTGCTTCAAAGTGCTTTTTTCCTCTCTCCCACTGCAGCCTCTCTCCCCAGGATCTGCAGGGCTTTTTCCACTTGCATAGTGTACCCGAATGGCCAACGCATGATACAGAGCCCAAGTGGGACACCTGCTTGCAAAACAAGGTTCCCGACACATTGAGGTAGTGTGAAACTCCCGTGCACAAAGGCAGCCAGGTAGTAGCGCTCCCTCCCCTCTGCCCATCCCGGATGCTCCCTTACATCCCCGGGGCTCCAGGGAACTCGGGAGCGGGGGATGGTCCGGAGCCCGGGGCTGCAGCAGGTGCGGGCAGCAAGAGACATTAAGCCTGGGCGTGGACAAGGGAGGAGAGAGGGCTGGGCTGGAGGGCTGGAGACGGTAGGCGGGCAGGGACTTGACGGGGCAGTACTTAAGGAGTGGCGTGTATCAAAGCTGTCGTTTGGGTACTTGTCCTTATTGCTTCTACTCGTTGCTATACGTCAGCAGAATGCCTGTCAAAGGAGGCACTAAGTGCATCAAATACTTGCTCTTTGGCTTCAACTTCATATTCTGGGTAAGAGATCCGTGCTTGGATCCGGGAAGGGACCTTCTCTAGCGCTTCCCCGACGGGGCCACTGAGCATAGCAGCTGAGATCTGCTATGACTGCTCGGAGTGGGAGCGGCAGTAGTTGTTGCAGTGTACTTGTTCTGGGATTTGTTTCTTTCTACTTCTTTTTCCCCTGCCCATAGGAGGAGACACGCTGTGCTCTCTCCTCTCCCCCAAGCTGCTGGCACTCCTGTCTCGTCGAAGCGTCCAAGGGTCGGGTGCGTCTGCCCCTCCCTCGTCGAGCCGGCATTACAGGGCTCCCGGAGTAGGGGCCGCAGCCGCGCTGCTCTCCCTGGAGCCGGACCTGATTCGCCGGTCTGGAAACGGCCGGCAGCGTTCACGAGAGCTCCGCAACGAAGTGCTGAGGAAGGGCTGGGGCCGTCCGTGCTCGGCAGCGGGGCAGAGTCGGGTGCGGCCTTCAGAGGTTTTTTTGTGTTGTCAGGAGGAGCCTGAGTAGAATTCATAGCCAGCTCATATATATATATATATTTTTTTTTAGAAAATGTTTTTTTTTAATTTTATTTTATTTTTTTAGAGCTACAGTTGGAAAAGACAGGCTGCATATCCTACTTGTTAACATGTGATGCAGCTGGATGGGAAGGCAGCTTTCCCAACACTGTGTACCACGAAGCTGCACTTCTTGGCAGTATGGAGGCTGTTCTGGTGTGCAGACTACTAGGGGGTACTGAATTAAATCCTTGCAAGGTAGCATTTGAAGTCACTGTTCTCTTATGCATTAACTTTTCTTGGTGGGACCCTCAGCTGAAGCCAAAGCTTCTGCATCAGATCCTTCAGGCAGTGCCTCCTAAAGAAAAGCCTAAAATGATTTGCATGTAGTAGCACAGAACAAGTGAGAGTTGTATCTCTAGCATGGCTTTGGGTACAAATACCTCATGTGCACAGCAGTATTGAGAAGCATGGTGTAACTTATGTTCAGGCTGCTGCAAGGACATCTGAATTTAGTGTTGTTTGCCTTTTGGAGAAGTACAGAGGGAACACAGTGTGGCTTCCTGTGTGCTGGATGTATAAGTGTGAGGATAAAGGGAATTTGTTTGAGAAGCAATTGTTCCTTATTTCAAATAAAAAACAAACTTTCTCTGCTATCTGCTGCTGCAGAGAATTGCTTGTGTGACATCTTTATGCTTATTACCCTCTGATGAGGAGAAAATAAATCAGAATTTTATAGAGAAAGCAATTTTATGATCAAGTGTAGTAATACACTTGGAATAACTATAGATCAAATGTTAATGCCGTAATAGTTCTGATCTCTTTAAAAACAGGTTTCAGTAAAGCTTAGAACAAAGCGTTCAGAGGTTGCAATTAAGGGAAATCAAGGGAATTTATGTAGAAAAAGGTTGCAGTGGCAAGATAAAGAAAATCCTAGACTGTTTAGTATAATGAGGAGAGAGTTTAGTTTGGAGGCATATAATAGCTAAAAAAGGAGCTGAACTGCATATTAACTGAAGCCTCTGAATCAGTGAGCTGCTAAACTTCCTGTTGAGACATGAAAACAGGCTGATGCCTTCTTTGCCTAGTGCAGCCCTGCTGAAAAACACCTGGGAGTATTGGTGGATGGAAAGCTGGGTATGCACTAGCAATGTGCCTTTGCAGCCCAGGAAACTAACTGTACCCTGGGCTGCACCAAGAGAAGCATAGCCAGTAGGTCAGTGGAGATGATCCTGCCCCTCTACTCTGCTGGTGAAGTCTCACCTGGAGTACTGCATCCAGATGTGGAGTTCTCAGTACAGGAGCAGTGGGTGAAGGAAATGCTTCTGGCCTGCAGAATTACGTGCTGACACTGCATATGCCTAAAAGAGCTCTTGCAGTGATGCATCTGCAACCCCAAAAGGGCAGAATGGCCTATCCAAGGGTGACAATGACCCAAATGTGGGAAAAGGATGGGTAAAGGTCCTGCAAGAGAAATATTTGAGGGAGATCTTAGAATGGCTTGAGTTGTAAGACACCTTAAAGATCATCTAGTTCCAACACTCCCTACTGTAGGCAACTCTGCCACCCACAAGATTAGGCATCCTGGGGCTCCATCCAACTTGGCCTTGAGTACCTCCTGGGATGAGGCATTCATGACTTCTCTGGGCAACATTTAAGAAAGTTTTTGTCTTTCCATAGTCATCTTATCTTTCTGGAGGTGAAAAGTCTGACTGTGCATAAATTAAGTGAAATTCTAATACCAAACCTGAAAGTCTGATCAAACAACTGTTTGGCTGTGAGATACAGAGGAAGAAAGGGATGCCATTTATAGGGATCTCAACAGACTCAAAAGGTGGACCCAGGTGAATCTGATGAGGTTCAACACAGCAAAGTGCAAGGTTTTGCACTTGGGACTGAGGAATCCCAGGCATTTATACAGACTGGAAGGAGCAATCCTTGAGAGCAGTCCTGCAGAAAAGTACCCAGCGGTACTGATGGATGAAAAATTTAACATGAGCCAGCAGTGTGCTCTTGCAGCTCAGAAAGCAAATGGTATCCTGGGCTCCATCAGAAGAGGAGTGGCCAGCAGGGTCAGGGAAGTGACTGTCCCTCTCTACTCTGCCCTTGTGAGGCCCCATCTGGACTACTGTGTCCAGGCCTGGAGCCCCCAATACCAGAAAGACAGCTGTTTGAGAGGGTCCAAAGGAGATCCACAAAAATGATTGGGGCTGGAGCATCTCCCCTACAAAGACAGGCTGAGGGAGCTGGGCTTATTCAGCCTGGAGAAAAGGCTGCAGTGTGACCTAATTGCAGCCTTTCAGTACCTAAAAGGAGCCTATAAACAGGAGGGGAGTCAAATTTTTGGAAGAGTAGATAAGAAGGACAAGGGGAAATAGTTTTAAGTTGAAGGAGGGAAGATTTAGGTTGGATGTCAGGGGGAAGTTCTTTACAGAGAGTGGTGAGGTGCTGGAACTGGCTGCCCAGAGAGGTTGTGGATGCCCCATCCCTAGAGGTGTTCAAGGCCAGGTTGAATGGGGCCCAGGGCAGCCTGGTCTAGTATTGGTGGCCTTGCTGTGGCAGGGAAGCTGGAGATTCATGATCCTTGAGATCCCTTCCAAGCTGGGCCATTCTGTGATCCCCAGGAGAAGTAAAAAAAAAAAACAAAAACAAACAAACAAAAAAAAAAACCAAAACAAAACTTTTGCTATATTCTACATAGCCCAAAGTTTTGGCATTCTGTTGTCCAAGAGCTACTTAACATTGTCTCCATTGCTGTAGTTAGAGCCAGTGTGCCTCCTGAACCAGCTGAAAGTGCAGATTGCATGAAGTGTGATCAAGTTCATATTTATTTTTAAAACAGTTGTCCTCAAAAGGACAAGTGAGGAATTTAAATGGCCTGCAACAAACTTACAGACATGTACAGATGATGTATTAGGTGACATATTATCTCTCTTCATAAGAGACTTGAGAGAGAGCAAGAGGAGATGGGAAGGGTGTCAGGGGTTACTAAGACCAGAAGTGGGAAACAGAGTTGAAACTGTGTTCCAAAAAGATAAATGTCCATAAATGCTGGCAAGCCAAATAAAAAGTGTAGTAAGGCAAGCTGGAATTGAGCTTTACAGTAACTTGCAAAAAAAAAAATAAAAATCCAAATAATATACTCCTTCTTTAGAGACACTAGAACGAGGAGGCCTTCCAGAGTCCTTAAATGCAGTAGCCAATCCAGGTACAAGCATGTTAGTAGGAAAATACTGCAAAACTTGACTTCGCTTGGCATGTTTGAGGAACACCTTGAATGTCCTGTGGAATAACCTGTCCATGACACTATATCCATCTTGGGATTAATCTCTTGATGGAAAAGTAGTGAAATAACAAAATAACAATAAAAAAAATGCTGACTAAAAACTTGCCAGAATCACAACAGTTATTTTAGTACTATAAATGAATGTGCTGTGCTTAGGTAAAACCTCTGGCTTACTGCTCACCTTAGGGCCCAGGAAATTGAGTGCAACAGACATTATTTACAGCTCCTATAAAAATGGAGTAGGGGCATATATGGTGCCTCTGGAATAGGCTGAGAAGATTCTCTTTATAAAGTAGAGATGGAGATGTTATGCAAGAAAGAATGGCTATTGTAAGGAAGTTAGAATGTAGTTTGCTTTGAAGCCTTCAGAAGTCTGAGTGCTGGAGAAGGAGTGAATTCTTATTACTACTAGTTTACTTTTTGTATGTCCCCTAGAAGTTTAAGGGCTCTTTGGGGGTGCTAAGCAGTCCTGGAGTGATTTACCAGTGTGATGCCTGTTGACAAGAACTGTCAGAAGGAGGAACTTGTAAGCCTGTCAGCATGATTTCAGTATTAGGTAAGGTCATGGAGCAGATTGTCATATGTGTTCTCATGGCAAGTGCAGACAACCGGGGGATTTGGTCACAGATTTTTGAAAGACAGATCCTGCTTGACCAACTGGATCTCCTTCTGTGAACAGGTGACTCACCTAACAGATGAGGGAAAGGTGGTAGATTTAGTCTACCTAGACTTTGTAAAGCTTTTGACTGTCTCCCACAGCATCCCCTTGGAGAAGCTGTCTGCCTGTGGATTGGGTAGGTGTACTCTTTGCTGGTTTAAAAAAAAAAAAACCAAAAAAAACCAGCTGAGCCCAGAATGGGATGGAGTTAAATCCAGTTGGTGTCTGGTCACTAGTAGTGATCCCCAAAGATCAGTACTGGGGCTAGTCCTGTTTAATATCTTTATTGATGATCTGGATAAAGGGATTGACTGCACTGTCAGTAAGATTGCAGATGGCACGAAGATGGGAGGAAGTGTTTATCTGAGGGTAGGAAGGCCCTGTGAAGGTGTCTGAATAGGCTGTATTGATGGTCTGAGGTCAGTTGCTTCAACTAGACTAAGTTCTGGGTCCTACACTTCTATCACAACAAGACAGTGCTGCGGAGCGTCTGGGAAGTTGCACAGAGAAAAAGTATCTGAGAGTGCTACTCAACAGGTGGCTGAACATGAGTCAGCAGTGGGCCCAGGTTGTCAACAAGGTCAGTGGCATTGTGGCTTGTGTTAAACACAGCACAATTAGTAAAAGCAGGGAGGTGATGTCTGTCTATACTCAGGAATGGTGAGTACTCCAGTACTGCATTCGGTTTTGGGCCTCTCACTACAAGAATGACATTGAGACCCAGGAGCTTGCCCAAAGAAGGGCAACAAAGCTGGTAAAGGGTGTGGAGCACAAGTCTTAAGAGAAGAGATTGTTTCTTCTGGAGAAGAAGAGGATCAGGGAAGGCCTCTTTGCTTTCTACAACTACCTGAAAGAAGGTTGTGATGTGGGCCACTTCTCAGGTTACTAGTGATAGGATGAGTGGTAATACACTAGTGAAAAATCAAGTTCAGTATTTGGAAAAATTTCTCAAAGTGCAGTGAGGTGTTGGAACAGGCTGCCCAAGTGGTAGAGTCACCATCCCTGGAGGTTTTCAAGA